CTTGTCACGTTACGGTAACACAGACCCAGTTTGGCCCACTAGGACACCACCTTTCCCTTACTTCTGCTGGAGGATCCGTAATGGAGTGTTTGGGCTTCAGTGTTTATTCGGCTAGACCTGTTATTGCTGATTAGCTCTTATTCTGAGAGTGTTGACTCCCTGCCTCTTGGGCCGGGTCACAGGGTTGGACCATGAAGATCCAGGGAGGTCATGAATAATTGGGAGCAAAAGCTACAGCCAGCCAACTGTCATTCTTTAGCGTGCCAAGAAGTCTGATCAATATCATTATTTTTTAATAAACCTTGAGGGCCGTGTCATGTTGGGTCTAGGGTGACGATGGGCTCTGGGTTTTGTCAGAGCAAATTTGTTCCATCTGTCAGCTGCTGCAGATCATGTCATGGTCAGATTTTTGCCCCTCCCATCTATATCTCTCTAAACGATTTCACACCAAAGCGAGATGCTGGAAACCTTAAACTGAACCAGAAAGATCAGCTGAAATCATGTTTTCTGCTCTGAGAGTTGTTGGGGGGGAGGGGGTTCAGGGTTGAGGGGTGGAGAGGATGGGTAGAATGAGAGAGGGAAAGGGACAGGGGTGGGACTTTTCTGCTTAAGCTCTCTGCGAGCTAGTCCACAACAATGCTGGAGGACACTAATGTGATGTCATTCATATGGGAACAGTAAACACCAGAGACATTTACTGACGCAGTGAAATCAGAGTGGCGCATTTGAGGGACACACCTAAATCTAATCTGCATCCACTGCGCCATCTACATGTTGTAGTACTTTAATTAATTTCCAGATGGTTCCCCAAACTTGCTTCAAACTAGCACCAATTTCAAACTAGCGAACTGCAATGTACGCTATTCATCAACCACAACAATTATTGTTAACCAGCTGTGTATATGATGAGATATGACCTTAACCAGCATGGTACCAGATGTCCACACATTATGTTCAGAGGAAATATGGTCTTCAGGACTCCCCAGTCCACACTGGTTCCATAAAGGCAGTAGCTGCACAGATGTAGTTCAGGCAAAGGGTGACACTTGTGGGAGCGAATGTATTTTTGCATTCTCTCCAACTCACCCCTGGTCAAGTATTTCCTTAACAGATTGCGGGGTCCCAGCAGCTTGTGTTCTGGCAGGTAATTAGGGCCGGTCTCCCTTGTCTTTACGTCAGCTCCCAGACATTAACGAGTTTTCACAGCATGTGACGGCACGGGCCACGGGCTGGTGGGGCCGCGGCTACCTCTACTTGCCATTTAGGAGATAAACATGTCTGGACCTCTGCAACGCAGACTGGGGTGGTGACACCAAAGTAGATTTACAGTAGATTAACACGCGACACCACAGAGCCGCGCCTGCCGTCTTCACCCGGTGCCCCCGTGAGTTTAGCCTAGCGCGCTGGGATCCGATGTGACCTACCGGGACCCCTCAGCATGTGCGTCTTGCCGCTGTCCCAGCCTCCTGCCCTCCCCATGCGCACCCACTCATGTGCTGCCACCAGTCCCAGCCCCGAAGACGCACAGTCGCAAATTTCCATGCAGCCAAGCGCTCCTTGCAATCAGGGCTGAAAGGCGCACCGTGAATGCGGCGGACACCCTCCCTCGCGGGAATGGCGGCTCAATCACGGCGAATTAAATGGCAGCATTTGCGTTGGCTGTCTGCGAATGACAGAGCGTGCCCAAGTCACCGTTTCTGTGATCTGCAAAAATGGGAAAAATCAGACTGCGCCATGCTCAGGATGGGGGACGTCGGAGCTAGTTTGGAGCGGCTGAAAGTGATGGTGGGTGCTGGACTGTACCAATCAGAGAATGGAGGCGGGGTGTGATTCAAGTGATGTTCTGCCATATACTGTAGCTACTTTGGGCAAGTTCATGAAACAGAAGTAAGGATCGATGCAGCTTTGCAGCGGGATGCAAGTTGACGGAACATGTCGCTCCGTGTCACATTTCTTACCCGCTGTGCTGCTGTGTTTGTTCACTGGCTCCCGGCTGCGTAGGGTCTGCCCCGTAACAGCTTCTGCTGATGTTTGTCTGCTTCTCCAACCTGTCGAGTGAAAATTAAAAAACCACCAAAGGGCCCTTAAGTCATCAATCTTTTGTTTTCTCCCCAAAATTATGCTTCCACTGGGGGGGATTACCGGACATGTTTTGTTGACTTTAGCTTTTGTTTAATCTTCCTGCCCTTTGGTATTTAGATGTTAAACACACACCGAACAGATTCGGAGAACATGAATGAACTAGATTAACGCCCCAGAGAAAAGCATATGTTCTCTATGTATTTGTTGGTTTTGGGGAGATGAATTAGGGCCTGTTAGAGGGCAGACGGGTTTAAGGACAGACAGCTGTGAGGAAAGACAGTAGACGGGTTTAAGGACATACAGTACTGTGCAAAAATCTTAGGCAGGCAAAGAAAATAGTATTTAAATGATCTTCATGTTGACATTATGTCTGTCAGTGTTTGTCGTTACCATTCAAAACACCAATGCATTTTTTGACTCATCCACTACCTTACCGGATCTAGTTAATATCTCATTGAGTCGTTTGACTAATTAAGTTAATAAATTAATTGAGCTGGTGTTGAAATTTAATGAATACGTGGAATGGCCGAGGTGCCCCTGAGGAGAGGTTTGGGAACTGAAGCGTGTTCATCTAGCCATCCAACAAGATATCAGTAACTTTTTGGAGAACAGAACAAATTCTTTTTCGTTTTTATTTTGCTACTGTTAATTTGGATATGTTCTAATGTGAAATTGCATTTTTTTTCTGAGCACTTACTACCAAGATAGACAGATTTCAACATTTTCTTTGACTAAGACTTTTGCACAGAACCTATACAAGGTCATGACTGGATCTCTGTGACAACTGGACCGATCTGTCAGAAAAGCTGCAGAATCCCAGATTTATTAATCAGGCCAAGGGGGGCTCTGGGCAGGATTGGCAGAACTACACGGGGAAGCATTTGGTCACTCAAGTGCTGTAATGGTTCTAGGCCCTTGCAGCTGACAGAATGTAGTATGTTCAGGTCTTTAAGCTAAAAACCATGAGTGTGTATATACACACTTGCATAATGCTGGCATTGATGCACATGTTTGAGTGCACATTTGCAGCTAAAAACAAATGCACACACATACAAAAACACCCACAGGTGCATGTCAATGCAAGATATAAATATAGCATGCGCAATATGGTAGAACCGAGTGTTAGTCAGCACTGTGCGCAGGCATTGCGTGTGTGTTTCAATGCGTGTGTTGCACGACAGCATATAATGATTGGATGTGCCAAAGTACAGGCTGTGTGCTGCTGTTTAGTAAGTCCGCAGAGATGGGGGTAAGTGTGGGCGCGGTGTCTGGTTGGACGTGCTAATGGCCAATTCATGTCAGATGGACTCGCTATATATAGCGGGGTGCCGAAAGATGCTGGTGTTGAATTCAGGGTAAAATATGCAAATTAGTTATGCAACGAAAACGTAGATGATCGTGAAGTCCGTTGCTACGACATTAGTAACATGAAATAAGCCTTAGCATTAGCAGCACGGATTTCCGTCGTTTATTGCCTATGCTGATAAAGGGTAAAGGTTCACCCCTACTTACTGCTTTCTAACAGTGTGGTTCTTTCTCGTTTCGTAGGCTGAAAGGAGAGCTCGTTGTAGTCAAAATCCCTGGCGACTTCTGGCAGGAAGACATGTTGGGGGTGTAGCAGGAGCGGGACTCTGGTGTAGCCTGATTGGCAGGATGACTGGGCACCGGTGTCACTGTGACAGTGTGGCCTCATCCTCTTCTGAAGCCGTGTCAGAGTCACGGCACAGGCCTGGGCTAATGAGCCCGGCAGCGTGACAGAGGCCGTGTGGCGCCACCGGCGTTGCTGGGACGGCCTGCCGTCATGCCTGGCCTCCCCATCCCTCCCCATTCTTCTGCTGACGCTGAGCCGTCGCATCCCACCGCTATGCGCCCCTGTGTGTGTGTGGGGGGGGGGGGGGGGGAATGCGCGAGGTGATCGACTTGGGCTCTGATCTTATTTTTATAACAGGTGACCCCCAAATGACTCCATCTGCTTCCTGTTTTCATGCATTTTTCATGAAGACCGTCCTTCCTGCTTTCACGCTTTAGCCCTCGGTAGACTTTGAACGTCCAGAGCTGAGTACCTGGTACCATTTCTATCATTTGCTTTGGGGACCAGTCAGGGCTGCACAAAGACATGGCCGGCCTTTGGAAACCTCCCCCAATCCAAACCAAAGCTACCATCATCTGCACTCAAGGGCCCCCTCTGATGTGTGGGCCCCTGAAACTCTCCTCTGGCCCCATAGGTAGTGACTAATAGAATTATAACAAGAATAATTAGAAAGTCTGCCCTGCATGACTGTTACCCCACCAGGGTGTATCCTGTGCCCCCCGTGCCTCCTGGGATAGGGGCATTACCAGACCTCTTTAAGATTCTCAGTCTTCTAACAGGACCGGGAAATTTCATTAAGTCAGCTCCATAAGCTGGGCTGACCTGGAGTGCACCAGTTCCGCAATAAGGCTTTGACCTTTTGGTTTCAAAACATTAATGGAAGTGGGGAAACATAACCGTGCACAGACAGCTTTTAATGCACTTCTTATTCAGCCGTGTTACTGAAAATCGGCGGTGTTTTCATACAGTGGTCCCAGGTTCTTGCGTAGTCTGTGTGAGCGTCACCGTGGGCGTAATGCAGCGGCTCCATCCATTATGATACATTTGGGATGTCTTTCACATCTCACGGGAAGTGAAGGTTTTCTGAATTTCCAGGTGGAAAATTTTGGGTTCACCAAAATCACTGAAAGCAACAATGACAACAAAGTCTACATAGTTTCTCTTGAAAGTAACTTGTTCTAATTATTGCATGGTGGCATGGTGGCAAATGGGCATGATATAGCTGTCTATGGTTTAGTGTCAGGATTTTAACACTCCTTGGTGTTAATTCGCTGGCTGCAGTTTGCAGGTAACGGCTGAGTGTAACCAGTATCCTTCTCCTTCCCAGACGCTGCCCACCACACAGTATGAGCTGGAGATCGTAGCCAAGGATATGGCAGGAAGCAACGTGGGATTATCGGGGACGACCACGGCCACCATCACTATCACCGATAAGAATGACCACGCCCCCGAGTTCACACACTCGCTGGTGAGCATTACCCGCCCCCACACTACTCCACTATGTTCACCGATTTCCTGTTTTTTGCTCACCTTATTCCTCCATGTCCTTTTCTCACAAACTGCACCCACTTAATCCAGCAGGACAGGCAGATATATCTCATGTTAAAAAATGCTGGGGGGGGGGGGGGGGGCCCTGGGCCATAAAATGCTGGAGTAACGACCAGGAAAAAAATTTGGTGCCCTCTGTAACTCGGTCCCCTATAACTATCCAGTGCATTAGTTTAGCTTTGACCGTCAAAATTACATGGGTTTACCAAAGAAAGGAAAAATTGGAGTCAAACTTCTGCAGTGGAGTGCACAAACTGTAGAGCGAAGTCTTATGGATAACTATCAATGCTAAGAAACACGGTTATTCGACTACTTTGTCCCATTTCCAGTCCGTATATTTGTTAACTTTGATAGCAGGAGACAGACGCCTGGCCATTAAAGCTACAAGCGCCACCTTCGTCTGTCCTGCTGCACGTTCAGCAGCTCAGGCCGTCCTGAGTGAGTCGAGGCCTCTATCTTTTGTTGTGGCCTCCGATATGCAAACAGCGGCTTCGGGACCGATCTGGGCCAATCAGCGCCGTTTGTCACGGACCGCGAGCGCTGGAGCCAACTGGCACCGCTTTGCAAACAAGCCCTTTGGGGCGGCGAACTGGGGGCGGGTCCGTGTGAGGAATGAGGCCTGTTTGCCGGGGAGCTCAGGGTGAAGTCAGTCACTCTGTCAGTGTTGCTATCTGCGATGGGTGTAGAGTGTCTGGAGGTCACGCCCCATCAGTACCGGTCCAAGCCCATGTGGTGCCCTAGGCGAGCTTCACCTCCGCCCCCCCCCCCATCCAAGACAAAGTGAAATTGGCTTGCTAAGTCAGCACCCCCTCAGACGATGGTGCCCTAGGCGGCCACCTTTATCACCTGATGGGTTGATAGGCACTGGGCCCCAGTGTCTGCACACAGAGTCTTCCAAAGCCTCCCAGTCTCCGACACGCATACAGGCGCACACAGACATTGAGAGAAAATACAGATATTTCTGGGGATTGTTCGTAGCTACAGATGTGATGTTTCTGTCAGGAACTGCTTCGTTGGCAATCTAGCAGAAAGAAAACGGAAAGTGAAGGAAGAAAAAAAGTATTAAAAAACGAAAGAGTGTTTAGTTGAGTGATTTCTAATGGAAATGCCTGGAGCTGTTTTCGGGGGTCTGCAGCCCTGCTCCCCTGCTGTTTCTGATCACGATGCACCGTCGTGTCAGAAAGGTCTGTAATAAAAATGCTTGTGAAGCTGAGGCCTCGTCGTAACACTTGTAAAAACTCCTATTCCTGCGCGTTTCTTTTTACTATGAGAAAAACAACTTTTTAAAAATTCCCGACAGCCGTTTTATGGTGGTGGGTTTTGTACAGTTTTTTTGTCCCCCGTGTCCTTTCCCTTTTTCTGTACAGCACTGTCCCCGCATTAACGCCAGCCTAGAGAGCACCACCATATCCCAGCATGCATCTGACCTTAGGAACACTGTCGTCAATTAGCCCATTAGCCACTAACTGTCATTGACGTTAATTACTTTTATTTTTCTACTATAGAGCAGCCTTCCTAAAAACTAGGGCCTTGAAGTGATGAAGAATGATGTGCTAGTATACTCAAAAAAATGTAATAATTATAATAATTAATGATGGAAAAAATGATGAAAGCAAGGCCGCTTATTAGCTGAACATTAGCTAATAAATGATCCAGTAGGTCCCTGCTCTGTGGTAAGACACTGGCCTGACTTGTGGATTTATGCTTATGTGTGTCTCATGTGCAGGCTCCAGAAATATATTGGGGTCACCTTGTCTGTCTGTCTGTCTATCTATCTATCTATCATATAATTTAGTTATGATTTCAATGCATACTTGTGTCATTTCATCATGATTGTCACTTTAATAAAAAACTGTGTCACTAAATTAGATTAATCGTCATGCACTTCTGTTACTCATAAACAAAATACTTATATGAATAAGTAACACACTTTCCTTTTGGAGCCTAAAGATTGCTCTCTAACAGATTTGTTAGTTTATCACAAGTCTTACAAAAAGGTTCCCCCCAGTGATGGCTAATGTAGTTTCTTCAGATTATTGTATAATATCCATTCATCTTCTAGCTTCTTGTCTTGGGGCTGGACAGGATCACAGGATGATCTGGAGCCTGTTCTATGCAGGCCGGGGTACACACTGGACGTCATGCTTATCAGAGGGTACAGACATGCACCACAAGCAAATTAAGAAGGCAAATTAGCCCTACCTGCATGAGTTTGGACTGCGAAAGGAAACCTGCACAGCGCAGGAAGAAAATGCAAACTTTATTCACACACAAAGCACATGTGATATTCATGCTCCCAGCCCTGGAGGTGAGATGCAGCACTGTTATCAATTCTGCCACAATGCTGCCCACTAATGTTTGCTACGTGAATCCAAAAGCAATTATTACTGAAGATGCTTATTTACATAACCAGGCATTTGCAGGTACTTGCTAACTTTTGCAGTGCGTGATTCCTGCATGCGAATGTAAGAAAACAAGGCATTATATGAATAAATATGTATTAATTATGTGAAAATGTTCTTGGAACAAAAAATAATGGGAGACATTGAACAGACGTTGGACTAGTATGAACAGTTGGGATATCTGCTCTGGCTAGCTATCCAAGGGTATTACATCAGGGCCTTTTATGAGAGTTGTGCTGGCAGCCTTTGTGGTACAAGTTTATTTCCTTAACCATTTTCCTTCCTTGGAACTGATTCCATAACTAGGAGGTCAGTTTTCCTTCATCCAGACCAGCAGATGTGCCCAAGGCGTAGATCCATATTTAAACCCAGCTCTCCCTAATGCAGACGATGGTGAGCACTAAGACCCTGACTTGCTCCTGTTGGCTTCTCACACAGCAGAGAGTCTTCTGCCTCTGGTTGGGGCATTTGCACAGCGTTGCAAGTCAAATGACTTAGATTTGCATGCTAATGAGAGTGAAGACCTTGTGGTCTTGGACATGTTTTGACATTTTGCTTATCCTGTAAAAACATGTCGTTGAGAATAAAACATTCAACTCCGAACTTCAGTTATTTGGATCCTGGAACGGACAAGCAGCTCTCCTATAGGGTAAATTGTGATCCCGCGTTCTGTAAATGCCACCGACATTTGCTCTTGAGCCAAACGCTGACGTACTGTCCGCCAGTCGATTATGCAGGCACTTCATGGCCGCTTTATGGACTTGCGCGGCGCCTGCTCCGGTTCTCCGAGCTTCGCGGAACGTCAGGAGCAGTGTTGCAGCGTAGGAATAGAGCAGGAAGAGTGGGAGAAGGAGTCGCATCCGGACAGAGGCTTCAGTGCCTTGGATTGTGAGAATCCTCAATCAAAGCCAAGGTCTACCGTGTCCAGAATAGTGTTCTAGGCAGGGGTGGGGTCTCCGGGCGATTAAATCTGCCCATCAGGTCTCCTGACAATAAAATTTGACGGAGGGTGGGAGCCCCCCACAAGGGAGGTGGGGGGAGATCAATTGTGCCTGGATTCAGTTGTAGTTCGATCCAAATATGGACTGGAGTCTGCCACTTGGTGACCACTGGCTTAGAGTTTTTTCTAAGCATGCTGGTGGATGGTGAAGATATTCATATTTTTATTTATCTGAATGTGAACACCAGCGAAGACAGAAATGACAGAAATCCTAACCCATGATGGCGAATGCAGGCATCTGCTGATTTATGGTCGATGACATTTTTGATCGCACCTGGGGTTGAACCAGTCATTAGCTGACACCACAGATAGTCATTCTTCCCATGGCTGTCATTCAAGGCTCTCCACACTGATTAGTATTGGTTGATGACCCGCTTAATTAACCTTTTGTCCCTGTAAGAGGTTCAGCAGGATAGTTATGAGCAGCTTCAGGCTGTGAGTTCCTGTTTCATCAGGGCCGTTATCTGTATGACGTGTACAGATGGTCACAGACGCCCACCTTTCGCCATGCGGACGGTTCATTTATAAAGACCCTGTCGTTTATTTGTCATTCCGGCATTAATTCCTCACATGCTCTCAAAGATATACGAACAGGAATTCATAATGCCCCACAAATCAGTGTGCACAGCTAAGTAGCTGAGTTCCTCCTGCCTTTTGGAAATTGACAAGGGGAGACAAATGCTTTCCCGTTGATGCGGCTGATGAAAGGCCGCTCTCCGTGCCGACGTGATCCCGAGAGCCGCAGAGCTCTCCGCTTCCCAGCTGGGACTCTCCAAGCACCTTGACTCCCTGCGCGGTAGGAACATGCCTGTAGGCGAACACAATGTGCAGGCAGGAACGACACGAGGGTCCCTTTTAGAAGTCACTGAAGACGAGGCAAACATGACGTGTGAGGGAAATTATGGGCTGATTATTAAACCACTTTGGGGATATGAAATGTCCTCTATTCCTGCACCCTGTGTAATTCCATGGAAATCTGATTTGTTTTACTTGCATATAAGGACAAGATTCTCTAGCAAAGAAACAGTGGGTCAGAGGTGCTGGTCCTCTATTAGAAATTAACACAATATCTGCAGTGCTACTACGATATCTATCACCTTAATAACACAGCCACTCGCCCTTGGCCTGTAGATTAGTGCGTATTTCCACACTTTTATATTTAACTTTTATATTTAAGCCTTTGTGAAATGCAGTGAGGCTATTTTGAGACAACTCTGTACCTTAATATTAAGTGTTCGGCAAGTTAAATGCCAGTTTTAATAAGAAAAAAATATGTTGAGCTGGTCCCCCTTGGCATTCTGTTTACATGCAGATGGAATTAAGCTTATATATGTCCTTTCCCCTTGAGAACAGCCGCTGAACGCTGCCTTGTTTCTTTAATACCTGGGTCGACCCACAGAAGCTCCGACATTCTTAACATGGCCTCTGTTTCCCTAGTGCCTTGATTACTCCTTTGGGCTTGACCACTGCCAAGGGCAGTTCTAGTGCTTTGGTGGGAGGCAAAGTTGGGCCATAATT